TTTTCTTTATTCAAGTGCTGAAAGTCTGTGAGTTTTATATGGATGGTTCTCATTTGTTGTTGTTAGTTGCGAAGTCATATCCGACCCATCGCAACCCCATGGACAATGTTCCTCCAGGCCTTTCTGTCCTCTACCATCTTCTGGAGTCCATTTAAGCTCACACTTACTGCTTCAGTGACTCCATCCAGCCACCTCATTCTTCTTCTATTGCCCTCAATCTTTCCCAGCATCAGGCCCTTCTCCAGTGAGTCCTTCCTTCTCATCAGGTAGCCAAAGTATTTGAGTTTCAATTTCAGGATCTGGCCTTCTAAAGAGCAGTCGGGGTTGATCTCTTCTAGGTCTGACCGGCTTGATTGCCTTGCAGTCCAGGGAACCCGCAGGAGTCTTCTCCAGCACCATAGTTCAAAGATGGTTCTCATAAACAAGTACAAAACCAGTTCTTCTGTTTTCCAGCAACATGCTTAATGCCAAAGCTAATTCGTGCCCTCTCAATGTGGACAGAAGAAAAGGAAATCAAAATGTTCTTTCATTCAACATTAATATGTGAGATACTAATTTTGAGTGTCATAAATATGGCACTACATTTCTGAAGGATGTTGATGGGAAAAGGCTGCTGTAAGTCTGAATCTGGACCTTGAGTGCTACCTTGAGGCTAACCCAAATGAATTCATTTCTGGTCTTCTCACCTTGGCCTTAAAAGCAGGCAGAAGAATATCCCTTTATTTAAGACTCAGATCTCAAAAGTGTTCAAACACGAAAACTTCTTTAATTTACTTGCCATGAAATTGGTTTTGGTGAGTTCATGAATACAAGTATTCAAATGTCTATGGAGATACTTAGTCATCCAGGTCAGGTTGCCCAAGATGCTTTCCCCAAAAGCCAACTGGACTTCTTTGATTTTTTTTTCCTTTGACAACATTTCTCATTCAAGAAACTTCTTCTGTCAGTCAGAATTGAAGAAAAGTCTTGGATGAGAAGCAAAACATTTTCAAAGAAAAAAAGAACTAAGAAAGTCCAGTTGCCTTTTAGAAAAAGCACTTTTGGGACAGGTGTTCAAATGTGATGAAATATGGTTGCCAGCTTTGCAGTGACCTCACACCCTTTGGTCTTAAACTTACTTATTTTATTGAACGTAGACTTGGAAGTTGCTAACAATATTTGCACCATTAATTGGTTCCAGTAGATTTTTTCTCGACCGGCCTTCATTTTAAAAAAACAATGATTGTTGAGGAAAGCAAGCCATTAGTCTTGCAAAACGACTCAATAGGAATATAGTTGTGACATACAGCTTATTATGGACCCCACTACAGAAACTAAAATGTACCTTGTCTTCTTTAGACTGTAACTTATTTCCCCAAGATATGAACGCAGAGTTGTGTTTGCAGCCCCTGCAATGCAATATTTCACAAATTGGGCCAAGTTTATTTTCTCTAAATGCTTTAACCAGCATGTGCACCCCTCACACTGTTGGGTTTGAATTTGAATTTGCTTTAGCAAAGATTACATGGATAAACACAGCATTGTCACAGTTAATAGAAACCTGTGCAGTGAGGTCTGAGGTTGCAAGATCAGTAACGATGTCAATGACAGTGAAGTATGGCCTTATCAAAAAGAGAATTCATAAGAGGCTGCCCTGGGACACTCCGCCACTGTCCTTCTGTGTATTCTGACAATGTTATCTGTCCTCTCAGCGCTGAGTATCAAATGTCTATCATGAGTATAGAAATTAATTTAATGTCACCTGAAGACATGCAATTAATCTTTTAGAGGTTTTCATAATACCTTTACAGAAAGAGTTGCCAGTTTGGCGGATTTGGATTTTAGGGTTTAGTTGAAGATAAGGAAAATTAATTTTTCATCAGGGTTAATACAAGCTAGCAGGGGTACAAAGGCTGAGAGAGATGGTTAGGGAATTTGTCAAGTGTTGTCACTTGGAATAATGGTGCTTAACGTCTGATAGGTGTAATCAAGTGTTGAGAATTCTATAGAAAGGGATTAATCAATTTGCTCACTACAGAATGCACGCGAGTGATACCGTTTATTTGTGCGGTTTTAAGAATTAGAATAAGATTTGATCTCTCAAATTGCAAGAAGCTCTGACAGTATCAATGGGGCAGTATTTTATCAGGACATCCTCAAAGCATTTGTTATAAATAAAATTGTCCAGCTAATGTTGATAGCCAACTGACTTCATCTTCATTGTGAAACTGTCAAGGTATTTGTGAGAAAAGTGCAGCTTACAAAATTTTGGTGCTCCTTCATTGCTCTTATTTATTAACAGCCTTTCTAATAAAGCATGATCAGAGCTTACCTTTCTAAAAAATAAATAACGGAATTGGATGCTTTTGAATCTTATTATTTAATTTTTTGCCTTTTCAACCGGAATTAATGAAGATGATATAGAAGCAAATTAATAACAACCTTAGTTTTTAGACCGTGTAATCAGGGATTAGTCTACAGAAAACTTTTATTGTATCCCTGAAGAAGGTATATGTCCACTTATAGTAAATATAATAACCACACTGATGGGCAAATATGCCATTTCTTGATTTTTAAATATGCAGAATCTATAATTTGTAGATCAGCTGATCAAGGCATTCTATGACAAGAGCTCCCCAGCTTAGCTTTATTTTTGATAGATCAGCTCACTTTTTCATACACCTAATCTTGCTCTTGGCTTTTCATTCAAAAATAATACAAATATGAGTTTCTGAGGGGGGATTAAATGTGTTTAGTTCCAAGTAGGAAAGTGTGTTTATTTACCAGCAGGGACATACTGCATTTCTCTGCTCCTGTATAAATGCAGTTTTAAAGTTCTGTGGAATGATGACCATTGCAGAAAGATTTCACTGTGGGTACTTCAGCTTTGATTAATATATTTTAAGATGTAGAATAAAATATTAGAAACGGAACTCTCTTAGAATATACCTAGTTCTTATCTTCAGTTTATCATGTCTGTTTAAAACACGTAGGTCTTTGCAAAGTTTACAGCTTTTCTAGAATTGTGTTGTTTTTAATTTATCCTCAGAGTTTGGGATGCAATATATCAGTGATGGCGAATCTTTTAGAGACCGAGTGCCCAAACTGCAGCCCCAAACCCACTTATTTATCACAGGGTGCCAGGTGGGCATGGCCAAGGTGGGCATGATCACTTCAATGTTGCTTGTGGGGAGGGACATCTATGGGGGCCGGGCAGGTTTGGGGAAAATCCAGGGGGTTTCTGGTAGGTGGGGCAGTGGGCAGGAGGCTCATCCAGCAGGGTGAGGCAAGGCGAGGCAGGGCGGGGTAGCCATTGTTGCAGGGTAAGGCAAGGCAGGAGCCGAGGCGGCTGCTGCCTGACACCATCGGCCCCTGCACACAGAAAGGCCAGCAAGCGCATGGATGCTGGATGCATCCAGCCACTTGGACCTTAGCGAGTTAGCAGGCGGCTGGTTAAAGAGCAACGGTTGCCATCTTTGGGGCATGGCGCACGTGCCCACAGAGAGGGCTCTGAGTGCCACCTCTGGCACGCATGCCATAGGCTCGCCACCACTGGAATATATCATTCATGAATAACAGAATGCCATTTCCTCAAGAATTTTCTTAAGGAACACATCACATATCCATGGGTGGACTTGATTTTCTTTGAACGATCATGGTTAGAAAAGTTCTGCATGGTACAGAAAGACAGTAGTCTACCTAGATCAGATCAAAATCCTAACTGATCTTAATCTAGCATCTTTACATTTCCATTAGGCATGTGCAAAACATTGTATTATTTGGGATGGTCAATATCCATATTGAAATTATTAAGAGCTTATTTGGACATAGACCTTGAATGCATGTAGAGATGCTCCAGGTTGGAAGGCAGTGGCTAAAACATGGGAGGGATAAGGTCAGTTAAGACTCTGGGAGAGGGAGATGTGTGCCAGAATGGAAATGAAGACAGGAAGGAGGTGTCTAATTTGGACCTGAGTCGAGGGGAGGAGTGAAAATACTGGCTATCCTTTTGCAATATTTATCTAGTAATTCTCTGTGAGTGTATGAGTCTGGTGAGATTCTTTCCAATAGACAAAGAGCAATAAACATATCGTTCTGATCAGCTCCTTGTGCTATTCTGGTTTCTTGCCCCAGGTAGAAGGTGAGCAAGGGCTAAAAAAAAATTGGAAAATTGGGGGGCTGGATAGGTTTACTATGCTTGCATTCTGGTGCAGTGGTAGGTAAGGAAAAGGGAGATGCTGGAAATACTGATCAGCAAACTGGTACAGAGATCATGCAGAGAGGGAGAGGAGAGAGGAACAGGCTTGTCAGCCTTCCTCAAGTTTGCTTATTAGATCAGTGTTTCTCAACCTTGACAATTTTAAGGCATGTGGACTTCAACTCCCAGCATTGCTGGCTGTGGAATTCTGGGAGTTGAAGTCCACATGCCTTAAAATTGTCAAGGTTGAGAAACACTGTATTAGATGAAAGAGTCATCTGATAGGGAAACTAGTATCAGATTTTGATTTCCTGGAAAAGTGTGGATGAAGCAGAATGTGTCTGATTCATGCTTGAATCAAAAGACGTTTTCCATTTTGGGTACAGTATATCTCCAATGTTGACAGTCACCAATATGAAGTGCCTTCATGCCATAAGCAGGACCCGAAGGCAACACGTTCCCCAGCGTTTTGTTATATGGTTACATTGACTGAAAATTCTGAGAACTAGACGGATTCCACATTGTGGAAAGTTGCACTAGGATTTGATTCACATATACAGTATGTCTTTTGGGAAAAAAAAAAAAAACCCAACTCAGATTTTTTATTAAGGAATAATCATGCAGGAAGGAAGATCTCCTAAATGCCTTCTCTTCTTAACCCTCTCTCAATTTTAGGAAGCCATGCACATTCTGAATAAAGCATGATTTAAATACTTCTTAATCTGTTATCCAAGCTCTATTCTATAATAGATGTTGCCAGAAATATGTAGTAGATTTTTTTTTTTTTTTACGTCTTAAGCAAAATGTTTTAAATTTCTTACAGGGTGGTGAGAATGTTGGCTTTTCTCATTTGGAAGAATCTCCTAACCGGCTTCCGCAGCCATCAGAGCAAAGACATCAGCCGGTGCGGAAGGTCACACTGACAAAAGGGACAGTGCAGCAGCCTCATCAGCACCTTCTATCACAGATTCATTCTACGTTTTCTCAAGAACTAAAAAATATCCCAGGGATACAACAAGTGAAAAAGGTATTGATTCTGGTTTGTACTGATATCTTCATTAGTTGCTTGAAGAAATAACTTTTCAGGGTTATTGAGACACTGAATTTGTTAACGACATTAGCTGTTGAGGGGGCAGAAAGAGAATTTGTCTTAGTGGTATACATTTGTGATTGTTATTTGGGCTTCAGATAAAGCTATGAATGATTAAAACATTCCTAATGTGAATACTGGTTCTCAGATAACATTCTGGTATCTGATAGTTCTGATTCAATTTTTAACACCTTGAGAAGCATCAAAACAGAATTGATGGGAAATGTATTCTAACGTTGCAGATAACTATATTGGGGACTCTTGATCTCAAATCCTTTTGTAAGATGTTTGCAAGTGTGTAATTTCATATTTTTGTAACCCATACATGTTTGTTGCCAATATGTACAGCACTGTGCAAAAGTATTAGGCAGTTGTGCAAAAAAGGATGTAAATTAAGAATGCTTTCAGAAATAGGTTAATCGTTTATTTTTTATCAATTAACAAAATGGAAAGTAAATGAACAGAAGAGAAATGCAAATCAAATCAATATTCGGTGTGATCACCCTTTGCCTTCAAAACAGCATCAATTCTTACACTTGCACAAAGTCAGGGATTTTGTAGGATTAGAGCAGTGTTTCTCAACCTTGACCATTTTAAGGCACGTGGACTTCAACTCCCAGAATTCCACAGCCAGCATTGCTGGCTGTGGAATTCTGGGAGTTGAAGTCCACATGCCTTAAAATGGTCAAGGTTGAGAAACACTGGATTAGAGTAAGGTGTATTATGCCAATTATACCAAGCAGGTACTTACGCACATCATTTTCATAAGGAGGTTGAAACACAAGTCATTAACTTGTAGGAGGCTTAAAACTGGGTGAGGAACAGCCAAACTCTGCTCCTAAGGTGAGGTTATGGAAGACAGTTTCATGTCAGAAGTCATACACCATGGCAAAACTGAGCACAGGAACGAGATAAAAGATAGTCATACTGCCTATACAGCAAGGTCTCTCCCAGGCAAAGATTTCAAACCAGTCTGGGGTTTTAAGATGTGCTGATCAAGCTCTTTTGAAGAAGCACAAAGAAATGGGCAATCTTGAGGACTACAGTAGTCCTTTTCCCAAAATTGTGGAAACCTTTTGGGAAAAGTGTACAGTAGAAATGCCACCTTTGGTTAAGTTTCCACCAATTTTTCTTCTAATTTCTTTATATCTGTAGCCTTGTTCACTTAATAATACTATTTTACATCGCTTTATGGGTGACCAGTCAACTCTTTGCACCATTACTTTAATTTTATTACATTTTACAAGCTCACTAAATGAAAGGGGCAAAAAACCAACCAACTTGATAGCGATCACATAACACACTGACAAATGTCCTCCTCTCAGCTTCAATACATGACATCAATAACTGAATCCTACTGTGATCTGATCGGCTCATTGCCAAAACAAGATAACACCTGATTGGCTCTCTAAACACTCACGCTTATTGGCTACAACCACATGAAGGAAAGCTACCTGATACCAACCTAAGCAAGTTGTGCTTCCTTTTTCTGGTTATTTGGCTATAACTTTTCATAGAATACAGTACAGATAATTGAACAAACTATGTTGCATTACATTCTTGATTAAATTATCTTTCCATTGATATATAATTTTATGGTACCACTCCAAAAGAAAGTGGTGTTATTAGCCATCAAACCTCAAAAATACATTTTTCCCGAAAGGTTTCCACAATTTTGGCCACTACTGTATAGTCGCAGTGCTGGCCAAGGAAACTTAATGCAGCGGATGAAAGAAACATGTTTACTTCTCTCCAACATTGGAAAATGTCCAGCAGTGCCATCAGCATAAAACTGGCAGAAAACAGTAGGATCCAGGCACACTCATCTACTGTCCGGAGAAGCCTGATCAGAAATGGTCTTCATTAAAGCCAAAAAGCCATACCTCCGACACGGAAACAAGGCTAAGAGACTCAACTGTGCATGAAAACATAGGAATGGGGTGTAGAAAAATGACAGCAGGTGCTCTGGAGTGATGAACCAAAATTTGAAATATTTTCAAACTATCAGGAGCCAGTTTGTTCACCGAAGGACTGGAGAGCGTATAATAATGAGGATCTGTAGGCAAATGGAGCATGGTTCCTTGAAATTTGGGACTGCATTTCTGCACATGGAGATTTGGTCAGGAACAGTGGTGTCCTCAGTGCTAAGAAATAACAGGCAGATGCTTATTCATCATGCCAAACCATCAGGGAGGTGTGTGATTGGCCCCAAATTTATTCTGCAGCTGGATAATGCCTCCAAACATACGGCCAATGTCATTCAGAACTATCTTCAACATAAAGAAGGACAAGAAGTCACGGAAGTAATGGTTTGGCCCTCACAGAGCACTGATCTCAACATCACCGAGTCTGTTTAGGTCACAGTGTTTCTCAACCTGGACAATTTTAAGGCATGTGGACTTCAACTCCCAAAATTCCACAGCCAGCAATGCTGGCTGTGGAATTCTGGGAGTTGAAGTCCACTTGCCTTAAAATTGTCAAGGTTGAGAAACACTGGTTTAGGATTACAAGAAGAGAAAGAAGGATTTGAGGCAGCCTACATCCATAGAAGATTCGTGGTTAATTCTCCAAGGTGTTTGGAACAACCTTGAAGGAACATTGCTGAGTTTTTTGAAAGCATACTTAATTTATAACATTTTTGCACAACTGCCTAATACTTTTACCCAGAACTGTATGTCAGAGTTTTGGGGAACTTATCTTATGGGGTGCCTGCAAAGAGGAAAGAGTTAATTTGAGTTAAGGACACTGCTAGAAATAAAGAGCTTATGAAGGAAAGTGATTTTGCTTTGGCAAGCCTTGGCGTTTTGGGACTGTTTTCTTGTAGGGATGGAACCTCTTGTTACATTGGAGTTTTCTTACGATTTTCTGTATGTACAGGGAAACCTCTCGTGTCTGGCCTTCAGTTAGATGAAACAGTGCATCATAGGGCAACAATTTTTGATTCAGTATACCTCAAAAGGGCTAACTTATAGAAAGCATCCACAATTTGGGGCCCATTGAAGTTTGGCAAAGTTGTGGCTGCTTCAGTGCTATTACAGTCAGCCACAATCATATGATCATCACTTCAAGAGTTCCCTCCAGCTTCCTGCAAGAATGGAAGGAAATTAGAAATCCCCCCACTGCTGGGTTTTTTGTTGTTTTTTTGGTCATTCTGTTTCACTCTTTAGGTAAGAAAGTATCTCTGAAACGATGATTCAATGGGGTCATGGGTTTCCTAGTCCAGGGGTAGGCAACCTTGGCTCTTTTATGACTCGTGGACTTCAACTCCCAGAATTCCTGAGCCAGCAGGGCTCGGTTTGGAAACTTTCCTGTTCCCCTCAGCATGGCTGGCTCAGGAATTCTGGGAGTTGAAGTCCACGAGTCATAAAAGAGTCAAGGTGGCCTACCCCTGTCCTAGTCCATAATTTGAATGAAAGTGAATCTGAGGGAACTATGACCGTCAGCTGGGTTTACAAGTGGAAGTTTAGCCATTTGCCTGCAACCCTTTTAAGAGAATAGATAACTTTTGTGTTAATCTGTCGGATTCCGCAAGCAGAAGCACGAAATCAAAATCCTTTTTTTCTTACCAGGGTATTCTGCATGGGAGAGGCAGGGGGATCACCGGCCAGATGGGCCGAGGTCGCTTGATGCCAAGTAAGCCGAATCTGCGGGTGGTAGAGTGTAAACCTCAGCCCTGTGTCGTGTCAGTGGAAGGCCTTTCTTCATCCACCACGGACATTCAGCTGAAGAACCTGCTCATGTCAGTAGGACCCATACAGGTAGATCATCTCCCACCTTTGTTATTTTTGCCAGAAATCTTAATTCTTACAAAATTCTATACCGGTGTTTCTCAACCTGCGCAGTATTAAGATGTTTGGAATACAATTCCCAGAATTGAAGTCCGAACATCTTAGTATTGCCAAATGATGAGAATCACTGCTCTATGCATTTGAAAGTAGTGGCACCATAGGAGGCTTTTGCCTGTTAATTACATATATTCAAAGATGGTCAATACCACAGTTATCCGAAAGAGGAAAAAACAACAACAACCTTTTGAATCAGTAAAATGTATTCACCTGCACAACCCAGTGAATATGTTTGCAAGCTTGATCCGGTCACTGATTTAACCCATTTTATGAATTACACATTAAATATAAATCAATCAAACGGACTGAGTTTCTATAGCACCAATAAGCCCCAAGAGAATTAACTAAAAATAAAACTGATCACGCTTAGCAGGTTGCACAGATACAGCCACCAAATCTTTAAGTTGGCTAAAATGTGGCAGGTGAAGTGCTGTTTCGCATTTTGTACCTATATGTACTTATTTTGGTATTTATAGTGCGCTTTTCTGTTTCCTCTCCAGTATCTTATGAGGAATGGAAAAATTTCATTCATCGCTAACAGGGAAACCTAATGATGAGAATATTCTCTTAAGAAAATATTTTGTGGATGCACATTTAAGGCTGAGCTCTTAAAGGCCCATTTTGCAGGAAACTACCTCCACACACTCTCACATCTAGCTAGGTCAAAAGTGGTACCCATGGTTAGATTCTTCCTTATCATGTAGAAAAAAAATTAACCCTTAAGCAATATCTTGTTTTCATTTGATTGTAGCATGTGTTCTAAACCATGAAGTAGCTGCAAAAAGGAGGACAGAGTTATTTTGCAACCACATAATGCAGGGTGCTCCTATTAAAGTTTTATATTATCTATATTTATATTATCTATATTATCTGTCACCTATGAAGGAAGGAGGCAAATGTAGAGCCTACTCTATAGAGTAAAAATTCTCAATGAAATCTTCTTTGTTGAACAAATCTCCTTCTCTTCCTCCCTCTTTGTATTTTAAATAAAACCTTCAAATTGAATTTATGAATAATAACATTTGAATAATAACTAACCCTAATCTTAACTTAGCACTAAACAGGGCCCTCTGCCTAATTTTTCCAGATCATCTAAATTTGGCTAGGTGCTGAAACATAGTGTCTCAAGAATTAAAGAACTATAGTTTAAAGTTGTGGCAATTGAGTTAGGATTAAGCATGTATAATTTAAATAGATTGGCACAGAGACCCACCAGTCTATTGCTCTTGATACAAATATTTGAGATTAGCACTATCAGCGTTCTCTGAACCAGCTGGGGAAAAATGCTTCTTGCCAATGCCATCTGTCTCTAGGTGAAAATGTCAACCAAAGTACGTTTCTAATTTCAAGGGGATTACTAGTACAGAATATCCACAAGTGTTCTTTTTGCTAATAACTTGCCACCTGTCTTCAAATCTTATTTTGGTGTTATTACTTAAATATTTATTTGCTATGCTTTTTGGTTCTTCTGTTGGGGCCATATGGGAATATTACTTACCTAGAGAAATCTTCTGCAGGAGTGAAGAATGAAAAGAACTCTGGCTATTATTACTATTGTTTTGGGATCTTGGGACTTTTACCTAGTCACATTTGGTTGGCAGTTTCCCATTTATAGGACCCCAAGGCACAATACTGTATATGCCGGCGTATTAGGCGACCCGGCGTATAAGACGACCCCCGTCTTTATAGCCGGGCCGCATTCCTAGAACGTCGTCTTATACGCCGGAAACTACCAGTATTTCCGGCATATAAGACGACCCCCGTCTTTGGCGCCAATTTCAGCGCTCGCGGAAGTCGTCTTATACGCCGGCATTTACGGTAATTATGTGTACAGGTTGTCTTAATTCAGTGAGAAAATCATATAATAACAAAACAAAACAAAACAAATGAATGGACAAGAGTTGGACACTTTCATAAAGGGTAGCCAAATATGAATGGACAAGAGTTGGACACTTTCATAAAGGGTAGCCAAATATGAATGGACAAGAGTTGGACACTTTCATAAAGGGTAGCCAAATATGAAAGAAAACTGCTGTCATTATGCATTTTATGGCCCGCAGGCCACATCCGGCCCTTTGACTATCCCTGTCTGGTCCACAGCATCAGCGGCATTGCCAATGGAGGGGGATAGGGCATCAGCCCCCCAAACAGTCCCAGTTTTTCTTGTCATCCTTTGGGAAAAGTAGTTGCCCATTCCTGCTCCAGAGAGATGATTGATGAGCAGGTTAGCCCTGCACACTTGTTGCCACTCTTCTTCTGAAGAGGGTGATTGATTGCACTGGAAAAATTTCTATTATCCGTGGAGGCTGTCCATAAATTAGGATCCTAATTGATAAAGGCTGTTCGGTTGTCCATTGCAAGCACTCTGTTTGTATATGTGAAAGGGATAAAAGAAGCAGGATTTTTGCAGGTGGTTAAATTGTTGGTTTAAACCAGGGGTCTTCAAACTTGGCCCTTTTATGACTTGTGGACTTCAACTCCCAGAATTCCTCAGCCAGGCACGCTGGCTGAGGAATTCTGGGAGTTGAAGTCCACAAGTCATAAAAGGGCCAAGTTTGAAGACCCCTGGTTTAAATTCTGAGCGCGCAGGTGGTCCTTGACTTAACAACCATAGTCGGGACCAGAATTTCTGTTACTAAGTAAGATGGTTGTTTAGTGAGACCTGCATGATTTTATAACCTGTTTTATCACAGTTGTTAAGCACATCACTTCAATTGTTAAATGAATCAAATGGTGTGTTAAGCAAATCTGGCTTTCCCCACAAACGTTGCTTGTGAGAAACCAGCCGGGAAGGTTGCAGATGGCAATCAAACAATCTGGGATGCTTTATCTGGGGAGTTTTGATCATGTGACTGTGAAGATGCTGCAATAGTCAGAAGTGCAAGAACTGGTCATAAGTCACTTTGTTCCATGCGATTGTAACTTCAAATGGTTACTAAATGAAATGTTGTAAGTCAAAGACTACCTGTCCTTACCTAAGAGCAAGGACTTGAATTGAGGTACCTGTTGCAGAATAAGTATGCATTTCTTTGGGTTTGAAGCCAGAATGTTTGTATTGCAAACAGAAGGAAAAAGAATTCCAAGAAGGTTCCCCCCAATTGTTACTCAATTTTCTGGAAAGAAGCTGGGATAAACAGAGAACTATCCCAGCATAAAAGCACCCTATATGCGCTTAACTTAAACTACTCAAATTTCTATAATCTCTTTCTTTCCGAGTACAGTATATGTCAGTACATGAGAAAATAGTTGTATATAGGCAGGTGGATAGATCCAGGGCTTTTTTTTGTCATAGAACGCCCAGAACGGAGTTCCGGCACCTTTTTTGGATGGAACCTTGTAGGGTAGGCAAGGCGGGTTGTATGACATGTGTAAGTTCCGGCACCTTTTTTTATTATTATTATTATTACAAAAAAAGCACTGGATAGATCAATTGATGGGCTGTCAGTTAATTTTACAAACAGGGTATCTTATTTTGTAAGCCATTTATTTTAATAAACAGTCATTATATTGATATTAATTATATTTTCCCCAGTCTGGTATGCTGTGTGCACACTTCACCGGGGGGGGGGGAGACCATTCGTCTACTATTGGAAGAAGTGTGAGTGGATGACAAGGTAGCTGAGCAAAGTGCTTTCAACTCTGAGTATCAGAGTCTAATTTCAGAATTCTTGAACAAGCCATCAGCTCAAACCAGTAAGAAAAGCCAGAATTTTTTCCTGGCAGCGTGATGGGCAGGGAAAAGAGAGGGATAAGAGAAGACTATATAAGAAAAAGAGAAAAATCACTACAGGTAGGACTGTACAGGACTTACAATTGAGCCCAAAATTTATGTTGCTAAGTGAGAAATTTCTTAAGTGAGTTTTGACTTTTCTGACCACATTTGTTAAGCGAGTCATTACAGCTGTTAACGTTAGTAACACAGTTGTTAAAGTGAATCTGGCTTCCCTATTTGCTTGTCAGGAGGCTGCCAAAGGGGATCACGTGACCCTGGGACACGGCAAACGCCATAAATAAGAGTCAGTTGTGAAGCATCCAAATGAAAATCACATGACAATGGAGATGCTGTAATGGTCATAAGTCACTTTTTTCAGTGCCGTTGTAACTTTGGTCACTAAACGAACTGTTGTAAGTCGAGGGACACCTGTGCCTCTGAGCACTTTTGATCCTGGCCCTACTAACCTTGGGCCTTCCTTTCATCACACCGCTATTACCTTTGGCCTCTACAGGTTATCTCTGGTGGCTTCATGATGATCCTTAATGTGAAGGGGGTTCTCCTCTCTAAGACTAACAGGGCTGCTGCTGCTACGTTTACTGCCCCATGAAGACGGATGGCTTGAGCATCTTCTGCCCACAGTCACATAGAAAGAAGAGTGTTCTATTCAAGCGATTTTCAAACAGCTCTGACAAGATCAATTTCTTGCAGCTCTTTCTTTTTAATAAGCTCTTGAATCATTGGAGCAGCACATTATATTTAAACGGAATATAATATATATTCTTTACACACACACACACACACACACACACACATATACATACACATACATACATGTACATGTATATGTATATGTTTTCTGAGGTTTTCGCGGGTGTTTGTATGTAGGTCTTTGGTTATTCAGGTTTTCTCCCATGTCAAATTGGAAGTGTCTTGGTGACGTTTCGACGAAGTCTCATTCGCCATCTTCAGGCTGATGTTTTCGGCTTCGAGCTTCTAGGAGCACAAAGCCGAAAACACCAGCCTAAAGATGACGAATGAGACTTCGTCGAAACGTCGCCAAGACACTTCCAATTTGACGCGGGAGAAAACCCAAATAACCAAAGACATACATACATACATACATACATACATACATACATACATACATACATACACACACACACACACACACACACACACAGACAGACAGACATACACA